TGCCTCTGCACTGGAAGTAGCCACAGACGACGACCGTGTAGACCTCCACGACACAGCACCAGCTCCCAGACTGAAGCAGTAACCCTGAGTCGAGCGCTGAGTCTCCACGTCGTCAGCGTAGGAAGAGTCACAGTGACCACTCAACGCCACTGGCTGAGTCCCTCCAAGCACAAGCCCCATGCCTGATGTAGTCGCCAGGTACTTCGCCACCCTCACAACAGCTGTCCAGTGGACAGGGCGGTGTCTCCCAGTCGCAACAAAGCGAGAAAGGATGCTGAGGGGAAAGGCGAGGTCCGGTCGAGTACAAGTCGTCAGGTACATGAGGCAGCCCACCAGCTCTGCGTAGGGTCCACTGGACTCAAAGGGCTCGTCAGGAAAGGGGCCCGTGAGTCTGTGGTCAACAGCAAGAGGAGTGGGCTGAGTGGTGGAGAACTGGAAGTCGAACCTCCGAAGGACCTGCTGCACCATGTGTGACTGCGTCAGTGTGATGGTGCGAGCGGCTCTGTCCCGGGTGATCTGCAAGCCAAGGTAACGCTGCAGCTCACCCAGGTCAGTGCACTTGTGTCTCTTCTGCAGTTCGGACTTCACCTGAGCCAGGGCTGCCCTGTCTGCTGTAGCAAACACCAAGTCGTCGACGTAGACAAGGATAAAGAAAGGAGTAGAACCCGCTCGAACAAACAGCGACGGGTCGGCGGAGGACGGGCTGAACCCAAGGTCACGAAGCGTGGAGCGAAGAGTGTCGTGCCACTCACGGGGCGACTGGCGGAGACCGTAGACTGGTCGCCTCAGGCTCCACTGGGTCCCAGGTGGGAAGGTGTCAGTGAAGCCAGGAGGACGGCGCAGCCAGATCTCCTCGTGCAGTCGGCCCTGGAGGAACGCAGTGGAGAAGTCGAGGGAGTGCAGCTCGTAGTCTCGTTGCGCTGCTATGTGGAGTAACACCCGAAGAGTAGTCATCTTCGGGGTCGGGGCGAAGGTCTGGAAGAAGTCAACTCCCTCACGCTGACTGAAGCCCCTAGCCACGTAGCGCGCCTTGAACACAGGCGGTGCTCCAGGCGGCCGCTTCACCTTGAAGAGCCACATGCCATCGACTACGTTCGCCCTGGGAGGGGGAACTGCGTCGACGTAGGTGCCTGTGGATCTCCAAGACGCCAACTCTGAGTCCATAGCCGCTTTCCAGTGAGAGGCCCACGCCCCTGACACTGCCTCACGGTAAGTGCGAGGAGTCGGTATGTCAAGGGCGTCGGGGTCTCCCTCAGGGGAGAGCAGCATGGCACACACAGAGGGAGAAGCGGCTGCCCAGTACTCCAGCTCAGACTCTCTGTCCTCTAGGACGTCACAGCCAAGGGCAAACTCACCCCCGACGGACAGAGGACGGTAGGGAGGAGCTGGCACCACACGGGTGGCGTAGTCCAGGCGGCTGGCGGCAGCAAACTCAGCGACAGCGGCAGTAAGAGCAGAGACCGACGATGGAGGGAAACGAGAGTCGGTGACAAGAGTGGCGAGGACACGTGCGGCAACAGGACGAACAGTGCGGTAGTAGTCAGTGATAGGAGTGGGGAGGGCTGGGAGAGAGGACGGAGGAGGAGACGGGAGAACGGACACAGGAGAAGGAGAACGACGACGAGACGTACAAAGGAGGGCAGTGTGGAGGTCAGTAACAGGGGACGAGTGATGAGCACGCGGAGGACAACGAGTGATCAAGTCGTGACGGACCGAAGGAGGAGGAGACTGAGGAGGAGGAGAAGACCAGACCGCCGGACGGTCGTCAGGAGGAGGCAACGGAGGAACAAACACAGGAGGAGACTGGGAGCGGGCAAGAGGAGAGGAGGAAAAGCCAAGGGCCCGCAGGCCACTCACAGGTGGGAACAACCGCCGCTCCAGAGGAAGCTGTGGTGGCGGCTGCGGCTGCTGCTGCTGCGGAGGCGGCTGCGGCTGCGGCTGCTGCTGCTGCTGCTGCTGCTGCTGCTGCTGCTGCTGCTGCTGAATGCAAGGCGACAAGAGAGCGCGGAGGGCGCGGAGGGCGCTAGGCGTGACGGAGGGCGCGGAGGGCGCTAGGTGCTACGGAGGGCGCGAGGGCGCGGAACGGAGGGCGCGCCGGCTAGGGCGGGGAGCGAGGATCGATACCTACTCGTGATACCATGTTAGAATCTACATGCAACGGAATGATTGGGATTAGGGTTTGCAAGCATACAAATAGGAGTCCTACAAATGTTGTACCCTCTAGGGAGTGCCTCACTGCAGCCTATCATAACATTAACATTTGACACCCTTGTCCTCATACGTCTTGAAGCGTTGCCCACTCTTTCACCCTCTCTTCGTATCCTCCCCAGCTTCTCTAAGTTGCTTCGTGATTATTACAAGAGCAGATGCGTTATATCCGGGTTGACACGCACTGTGTCAGGGCTCTTAGTAGTAAGTTCATGTGCCTTTTTCTCTATCTTTTTATTTATTTATTTATTTTTGGGGGAAAAGGAGAATAAACGAAAGGAGAAGAGAAAACCCCATATTAGTGTGGGTCGGACGAAACCAGCCTATCTGAGTTACAGGTAGAAACAGGAGTTGTATCATATTCACCAATGGACTAGTAAAATCTCATGAACAATATTACGAACCTAGCAAGTGTTTAGGGATTCATAGTGTGCATAATGCAACATTGATATGTAACTCTAATAGAGTTGTCTTCGTGGGAAACACTTCCCAAGTCTCCAGCACCACGCTGTGTTCTCAATTCTTGGAAAAAAAAAACAACAGAGATATAAAGCATAACTATCACTATTAATTATTGCCATCAACGTTATCAGCTCCCGACTGTTCTGTTGACCAAGTACGAACTCCAGTCAACCCGTCCACCTGACTCTGCTGTGTCAGACCCACATGGCTCCAACGGTGCGCGATGCCTCCTGCGCTCTCCTGCATTGGCATTCCATACAATCCCCACCTTTGTAACAACCCTCTCATTCCCCGCTGCCCGCCCATTCCCGACTGCCCTCCCAAACCCTGATTCCCGTCCATTCCCCGCTGCCCGCCCATTCCCGACTGCCCTCCCATTCCATGCTGCACGCCCAAACCCTGCTGCCCGCCCATTCCCAGTGGCCCACCCATTCTCTGCTGCCCGCCCACTCCCTGCTGCCATCCCATTCCCTGCTGCCCTCCCATCCCGTGCAGCCCTCCCATTCCCTGCTGCCCTCCCATCCCCTGCTGCCCTCCCGTTCCCTGCTGCCCTCCCATCCCCTGCTGCCCTCCCATCCCCTGCTGCCCTCCCATCCCCTGCTGCCCTCCCGTTCCCTGCTGCCCTCCCATTTCCTGCTGCCCTGTTCCCCAATGCGGATGCATTCCCGGCTGCCCTTCCAACCCTTGAAGCTCAACCGTTTCCTGCTGCCCATCCCTCCCTTGCTGCCCTCCCCTCCCTTGCTGCCCTCCCCTTCCTTGCCTCCCTCCTCTCCCTTGCTGCCCTCCCCTTCCTTGCCTCCCTCCTCTCCCTTGCTGCCCTCCCCTTCCTTGCCTCCCTCCTCTCCCTTGCCGCCCTCCCCTTGTTTGCCGCCCTCCCCTCTCAGGACCTTCCATACAAACCGCGCCGCCTTGTTCCTCTGTGGTGGACACCACCCCAGACCGGCCTCTTCCTCTCCCTCTACCTCTTCCCTGTTGACCTCTACCTCGACCACGCCCTTCCTCAGTACCCCTCTCATGCACATCGTCGTCGCCTCCATGCCCCACCACTTCCCTCTGTATGTTGAGTCCTTGTAACTTCCGTAATCGCCCCCGAACCACGTCGTCCGCACTCCTCAGGCCACCCCCCCTCGAAGTTCCCTCACCTGCACTACTTCCTTGCGCACCGCCCACGAGCAATGCTTCGGAACCGGCCCCAATATCACCCGTCTCTGATTCAAGGGGGACATCCCCGGCAGGTACAGGCTCCCTCCCAAATATATCCGTCAACACCGAATCTGTCGGTGTTCTCCCATTCTCCTCTCCATCCCCCTCATCTTCCCCGCTGCCCGACTCCTCGTCCGGTTCACTCTCATCGTCTCGCTCACCAGTCGTATGATCACAACGAATACCTCTCCGATGACTTCGGTTACATGCGCTACAAGGGGCTACATGTACCGCGCCGTCCGCTGTGGTCATCATCTGCACAGCCAATTGCCCTGCTGGGGTTTGTAATGCCTCCCACAACACCCGGTTCGCAGCCCGGACCCCACATGTCCTAGAGTTATGCCCCATCTCTCCACATTTGCCACACTTGCGCAGTTTGATAGGGTCGACCTCTCCTGTCGAACGAATCCTGTTCTTTTTTGGCCGGCCCGCCCTTTTGGAGTAGACTGGCGCTAGAGTAATGCCATCCGGGATCACTGACGTGGGGTCGAGGGTCCGAATCGGGGTCTTGTACACCCGCTGCAGCGCCGAAACCGAGTGGCTGTTGTGTATCATAGCGTGGGCCTTGTGCCCTTCATCCTTGAACACTGCAAAAATATGGACGCACGGCAGCCCATACTCCCTGTGGTTGGGGTATTGGGGTATTGGTGCAGAGGAATAGGGTGGTTGGTTATTGAAGTGATTGGTCAAAGAAGCACATATACATAGTCATGCGCACAAGCCGTAAAAGTAAACAAACAGTCCCAAATGTTGCATCTATTCCCTCCCATCCATGGCTACCATTTGTTCCCTTGCTGTCCCGCCTTACGTTGCTGTCCCCCTTTCGCATGCTGCCCTACATTCGCTTGCTGCTCCAACCCGTGCTGTTTGGCACAATATCCCTCCCTCTCTCGCTCTGACCCCCTCTCCTGCTGCCTACCTTTCCATTGTTGCCCTCCTATGCCCTCTCTTGCTGCCCCCCATACCTTGCTGCCCCCATCTCCCTTGATGCCCTATAAGCTCCCACTCCCCCCGCCCCCATGCTGTCTTCACATTCCCTGGTGCTCCCCAAACATTGCTGCCCCCCTTCCCTTGCTGCCCGCCCGACTTATTGCACCCCTTGCCCTTGCTGCCCTCCCATGTCTTACCTGGTGTAACCACACGTGCAGGTGGTAGTTGTAGGCCTCTCGGGGTCAGTAGTCACGACTCTCGATTCCACCTCATCGCGGCTCACAATGAACCGGTTCTCGCCGGACCCTTCAGCATCGTATCTCTTCCCTTCGTCGCAGTTTGCCTTGATAATTGGTCGTGTCCTTGGCGGGAAGACAGCATCAGTGAGCTTTGAGTACTCGAGGCGCCTCTCTTCAATACTCTTTGAGAGCCTGACCGTCAAGAGGTGCAATACTTGAGGGGCACTTTTGTCACGCAGCCCTGAGAGTGATGCGTGGTGTGACTCAACAGGGTTGGAGGTCATGCAGCCAAAACGCGGAGCACCAAAGTGCGCCGTGGCCCACTTCTCATGCAAACCGTTGGCAACAAGATATGCCTTCCCACCAGGGCATTCTTGCTCGCTTTTCTCCATCGTTTCGTGGTAAACCAATGGAGTGAGAGCCGCTGCAGCTGCGAGGATCCTTCCATCCAAGTCCGTCCGAAACTTGTTTTTGAAATTGCGCACCAAATGAGTGATGCAAAAGGACTCCCGTATTAGGGGGAGACAGGCTGCTGTCGCCAGCTTCCATGCACCCCCCCTATCATGCATCATCACAAAATCGGGGGAGTTCACCTCCGGTACTGCCTCTAGCAAGAGTTGAAAGAGGTAGGTACACGACTGTTTGTTCTCGCCCTCGACCCACGCACACCCCAACCTAACAAGCTTGTGCTGACTGTCCAGCATGCAAATGTTCAATGTGTATCCCCCCCATCTCGTCTTATTATGACAACCATCGGCAAAAAGGATAGGCAAACAGTTCATCACGGTCTCCTTGGCCCCTGGATAAATGACACCGGCCCGGTAGAAGTTGTTACCCCGCCTCACAAATGACACTTTGCACGACGGATTCTCAGCCTTAAACTTTCTCAGCAGGTCCCCCTTGTACTCGAATCCTTTATCTCCCCCAAAAAGCTCATCATCGCTCAACTCCCAAAGCACCTCCCGTGCGAGAGTATAAGAACACTTCACACCCAGCACCTGATGAACGCGACTCATCAACGCTGCCGGTCTAACCTCGCCATGCATTCTCATCTCACGTGCAACCTCTTCCACCTCTTCCCGCTGAACCCTAGCCGCACCGATTGTACACCTATCCGCATGCTCTAAATGAGCTCTCGTGACCCTGAGGTTATCACTAACAGGCCCGCGCACGATGATACGAAAAGGGCATAGCGCTGCGTCACTACTCACCTCTCGTTTGGGCCAACCCTTCCCCTGCATGCTCTTGCACCGCACCTCAATGAGATTACTACGATTGTAATGAAAGTACGGAGCCACCATCTGTTGCCGACAGTACAGACGTACATCTGCCCTCGCCGCGTCTGCACTAGAATAGACTTTCCCTAGGTGGATGTTGACTGCATCATTCTCCTGCATCTCAAGGTACTGGGGTGGCCAAAGAAGGAGAGCAGATAGATGCACAAAAGACCTCGAGTTCATAAGTTGTGGTATTTTGTAAGATGCACAAAACAACACGTGATATATTATCATTGGCTTTGGGAAACGGGTTCGTACCTCGAACGCAGTAGGTGAAACATGATGCCAGAAAAGGAACTCCGGCCCTGCAAGAGGGGGCGATAGGAATGGATACAAGCGTGAAAGAGAGTGGGGAGGCGCCATGCAAGTACACTGCAAGACAATCATGACTAGTACGCAGCATGGAGAGAGGGCAGACAATCTCGAGTAATGAGCGAGCAAAATGTGTCAGTGCAGCAGCAGCATGGAGAGAGTGGGGAGGGTAGTCCATGAGAGGACAGAAAGGGGATGAGAGGATAGGAAATCGGTTTGGGGATGGCGTAGCGTGTGGGATACTAATCGTGTATGAGACAGAGTGCAAGGCGACAAGAGACGAAGCCCGCCCAACACATGATAAAGGGAGTATGAACTTGTAAGAGGTGGCTGGTAAGTGAGGTCGCTCATCAAGATAGGGCAGAAGTGGTAACGTGAAAGAGAATGCGAGGGAGATTCAGAGGGGATAATTGAGTAGGTTATCAAGCATAGGAGAGAATGAAGTTCAGAATGACAGGGCATGACGGGGTAGATAGGAGAGGAGACCGCGAGAATGAGCGCGCATGAGAGGGAACGGTAGGGATTGAGAGATAACGAGAGGGGATGAGAGGGCATAATACTCGCTCAGCGGCTCGCAGTACGTGTATGGTTACGCAACAAAGAGAGGGAGGGCATGGAAATCAGAGTAGGGTGCGAACAAGTGTGTCAGTGCAGCAGAGAGAGGCGGAGTGGGGAGGAAAATGCAGGTAGGTAGCGAGACAATCGTGAGGGTTACGCAGCAGAGAATGGGAGGGCTGGGATATCAGAGTAGGGTGCGAGACAAGCGTGAGAGAGTGGAAAGGGAGAGAGAGAGTCAGGAGGTTTTTTGAAAAAGGCAGCGAGGCAGTCGTGAGGGTTACGCAGCAGAGAATGGGAGGGCTGGGAAATCAGAGTAGGGTGTGAGACAAGCGTGAGAGAGTGGAAAGGGAGAGAGAGAGTCAGGAGGTTTTTTGAAAAAGGCAGCGAGACAATCGTGAGGGTTACGCAGCAGAGAATTGGAGGGCTGGGAAATCAGAGTAGGGTGCGAGACAAGCGTGAGAGAGTGGAAAGGGAGAGAGAGAGAGTCAGGAGGTTTTTCGAAAAAGGCAGCGAGACAATCGTGAGGGTTACGCAGCAGAAAATGGGAGGGCTGGGAAATCAGAGTAGGGTGCGAGACAAGCGTGAGAGAGTGGAAAGGGAGAGAGAGAGAGAGTCAGGAAGTTTTTGGAAAAAGGCAGCGAGACAATCGTGAGGGTTACGCAGCAGAGAATGGGAGGGCTGGGAAATCAGAGTAGGGTGCGAGACAAGCGTGAGAGAGTGGAAAGGGAGAGAGAGAGAGTCAGGAGGTTTTTTTAAAAAGGCAGCGAGACAATCGTGAGGGTTACGCAGCAGAGAATGGGAGGGCTGGGAAATCAGAGTAGGGTGCGAGACAAGCGTGAGAGAGTGGAAAGGGAGAGAGAGAGAGTCAGGAGGTTTTTCGAAAAAGGCAGCGAGACAATCGTGAGGGTTACGCAGCAGAGAATGGGAGGGCTGGAAAATCAGAGTAGGGTGCGAGACAAGCGTGAGAGAGTGGAAAGGGAGAGAGAGAGAGAGTCAGGAGGTTTTTGGAAAAAGGCAGCGAGACAATCGTGAGGGTTACGCAGCAGAGAATGGGAGGGCTGGGAAATCAGAGTAGGGTGCGAGACAAGCGTGAGAGAGTGGAAAGGGAGAGAGAGAGAGTCAAGAGGTTTTTGAAAAAAGGCAGCGAGACAATCGTGAGGGTTACGCAGCAGAGAATGGGAGGGCTGGGAAATCAGAGTAGGGTGCGAGACAAGCGCACGAGAGTGGAAAGGGAGAGAGAGAGAGTCAGGAGGTTTTTGGAAAAAGGCAGCGAGGCAGTCGTGAGGGTTACGCAGCAGAGAATGGGAAGGCTGGGAAATCAGAGTAGGGTGCGAGACAAGCGTGAGAGAGTGGAAAGGGAGAGAGAGAGTCAGGAGGTTTTTTGAAAAAGGCAGCGAGACAATCGTGAGGGTTACGCAGCAGAGAATGGGAGGGCTGGGAAATCAGAGTAGGGTGCGAGACAAGCGTGAGAGAGTGGAAAGGGAGAGAGAGAGAGTCAGGAGGTTTTTTGAAAAAGGCAGCGAGGCAGTCGTGAGGGTTACGCAGCAGAGAATGGGAGGGCTGGGAAATCAGAGTAGGGTGCGAGACAAGCGTGAGAGAGTGGAAAGGGAGAGAGAGAGAGAGTCAGGAGGTTTTTCGAAAAAGGCAGCGAGACAATCGTGAGGGTTACGCAGCAGAGAATGGGAGGGCTGGGAAATCAGAGTAGGGTGCGAGACAAGCGTGAGAGAGTGGAAAGGGAGAGAGAGAGAGAGTCAGGAGGTTTTTCGAAAAAGGCAGCGAGACAATCGTGAGGGTTACGCAGCAGAGAATGGGAGGGCTGGGAAATCAGAGTAGGGTGCGAGACAAGCGTGAGAGAGTGGAAAGGGAGAGAGAGAGAGAGAGTCAGGAGGTTTTTGGAAAAAGGCAGCGAGACAATCGTGAGGGTTACGCAGCAGAGAATGGGAGGGCTGGGAAATCAGAGTAGGGTGCGAGACAAGCGTGAGAGAGTGGAAAGGGAGAGAGAGAGTCAGGAGGTTTTTTGAAAAAGGCAGCGAGACAATCGTGAGGGTTACGCAGCAGAGAATGGGAGGGCTGGGAAATCAGAGTAGGGTGCGAGACAAGCGTGAGAGAGTGGAAAGGGAGAGAGAGAGTCAGGAGGTTTTTTGAAAAAGGCAGCGAGGCAGTCGTGAGGGTTACACAGCAGAGAATGGGAGGGCTGGGAAATCAGAGTAGGGTGCGAGACAAGCGTGAGAGAGTGGAAAGGGAGAGAGAGAGAGAGTCAGGAGGTTTTTCGAAAAAGGCAGCGAGACAATCGTGAGGGTTACGCAGCAGAGAATGGGAGGGCTGGGAAATCAGAGTAGGGTGCGAGACAAGCGTGAGAGAGTGGAAAGGGAGAGAGAGAGAGAGAGTCAGGAGGTTTTTGGAAAAAGGCAGCGAGACAATCGTGAGGGTTACGCAGCAGAGAATGGGAGGGCTGGGAAATCAGAGTAGGGTGCGAGACAAGCGTGAGAGAGTGGAAAGGGAGAGAGAGAGAGTCAGGAGGTTTTTTGAAAAAGGCAGCGAGACAATCGTGAGGGTTACGCAGCAGAGAATGGGAGGGCTGGGAAATCAGAGTAGGGTGCGAGCTAAGCGTGAGAGAGTGGAAAGGGAGAGAGAGAGAGAGTCAGGAGGTTTTTGGAAAAAGGCAGCGAGACAATCGTGAGGGTTACGCAGCAGAGAATGGGAGGGCTGGGAAATCAGAGTAGGGTGCGAGACAAGTGTGAGAGAGTGGAAAGGGAGAGAGAGAGAGTCAGGAGGTTCTTGGAAAAAGGCAGCGAGACAATCGTGAGGGTTACGCAGCAGAGAATGGGAGGGCTGGGAAATCAGAGTAGGGTGCGAGACAAGCGTGAGAGAGTGGAAAGGGAGAGAGAGAGTGTCACGAGGTTTTTGGAAAAAGGCAGCGAGGCAGTCGTGAGGGTTACGGAACAGAGAGAGAGGGAGGGTACCCGGAAACTAGTTGCAGTAGAGCGACTCCACGTTCAAGTTGAAGTCGGGGTTGCTCCGCCGCACGGGGCTCAGAATGCACTTGAACAGCACCGCCAGGCGCTCCGCGCTCTGTTTCGGAGGGAGGTGGAGGGGTAGCGGAAAGAGATGGAATAGGGGAATGGGGAGCGAGGACATGAAAGAGGATGAGAGGTAGGACAGGGGTTATAACAATGAATGGCATTCTCAGGGGATGAAAGTTTGAGTGTCAGGGGATGAGGGTGAAGAATAGGGGAGAAGACAGCGTTTGATGGGGAGCAAGCAATCCGCTGAGCGCATAGCTGGCCGCAAGAGAGGCGCAATGCGCCCAGCGGTGAGCAATCCGCTGAGCGCATAGCTGGCCGCAAGAGAGGCGCAATGCGCCCAGCGGTGAGCAATCCGCTGAGCGCATAGCTGGCCGCAAGAGAGGCGCAATGCGCCCAGCGGTGAGCAATCCGCTGAGCGCATAGCTGGCCGCAAGAGAGGCGCAATGCGCCCAGCGGTGAGCAATCCGCTGAGCGCATAGCTGGCCGCAAGAGAGGCGCAATGCGCCCAGCGGTGAGCAATCCGCTGAGCGCATAGCTGGCCGCAAGAGAGGCGCAATGCGCCCAGCGGTGAGCAATCCGCTGAGCGCATAGCTGGCCGCAAGAGAGGCGCAATGCGCCCAGCGGTGAGCAATCCGCTGAGCGCATAGCTGGCCGCAAGAGAGGCGCAATGCGCCCAGCGGTGAGCAATCCGCTGAGCGCATAGCTGGCCGCAAGAGAGGCGCAATGCGCCCAGCGGTGAGCAATCCGCTGAGCGCATAGCTGGCCGCAAGAGAGGCGCAATGCGCCCAGCGGTGAGCAAGCCTCTGAGCGCATAGCTGGCCGCAAGAGAGGCGCAATGCGCCCAGCGGTGAGCAATCCGCTGAGCGCATAGCTGGCCGCAAGAGAGGCGCAATGCGCCCAGCGGTGAGCCATCCGCTGAGCGCATAGCTGGCCGCAAGAGAGGCGCAATGCGCCCAGCGGTGAGCAATCCGCTGAGCGCATAGCTGGCCGCAAGAGAGGCGCAATGCGCCCAGCGGTGAGCAATCCGCTGAGCGCATAGCGCTGGCCGGATTAGAGGCGCAATGCGCCCAGCGGCGAGCATACCGCTGGGCGCATGCCGCTGGCCTCGAGAGGCGCGCTACGCGCCCAGCGGCGAGCTTTCCGCTGGGCGCATAGCGCTGGCCGCGAGAGGCGCGCTACACGCCCAGCGGCGAGCATACCGCTGGGCGCATAGCGCTGGCCGCGAGAGGCGCGCTACGCGCCCAGCGGCGAGCATTCCGCTGGGCGCATGGCGCTGGCCGCGAGAGGCGCGCCACGCGCCCAGCGGCGAGCATTCCGCTGGGCGCATAGCGGCAAGCAGAGGGTCCGGCGTGACGGTCCAGCGGCCGGCACGCCGCTGAACGCGAGAGCAGCGAGTGTGGCGCGACCACCGCTGGCCTTACGATTTTTTAACAATGTTAAGATTCGAGAAGGCTCAGCTGTTAGGGAAGTGAAACGGATAGAGACGTACCTCTGATAAGGAGCAGCTGTCACATGAGCTTCCGTGGATTCTATGGCCGGGTAATAGGTCTAAGGAATCCGTGCTAAGTTAGTGTCGAGTGTGATAGGGCTAGAGCATGATGCAATCTGTTGGGGCTACGGGAAGTTGAGAGTTTGCAGGTTGGGTTGATCTTAGTGTGCACGCAGTGTACAATACGCTTGGTTCTGGTTCGGCAGAGTGGCGTTCGTGGTTCAGGAGGACGTGGGAGCATCACAATTCGTGGATGGGTTTGGCGCGAGCGGGAAACCGTCAAATCAGGGTCATGTCAGAGCTGATTTCATCGAAGTTACCATTCGCGTGATGGGCTGCTAGTGGAAAGTTACCATCCGCGTTAAGCGAGTTACCAAACGTGTTAAGCGAGTTACCAAACGTGTTAAGCGAGTTACCAAACGCGTGAAACCAGCATGAAATCGTTACCGTACGCGTTATAGTGCCCCATATAAGTTACCATTGACATAATTTCCCAAAAATGGATTATGTAGTGCACTGTTGAAGAAATTTGAGACTGGAGTTCACCTTCTTAGCAAAGTCGACGATGACAAGCTCGCGGATTGATCGTGCACTGGTGTCGGCCTCTCTGCTTCCGCTGGTAGCTGACGCGTACCACATGGCATCTCCTTCGGATGTCACTGATCATTGGTTCGGCATCACCACGGTGCTGACGGCGTCATCTGGGAAGGAGCATGGCCCGGGGCTGTGGAAGATGCATGCTGATGGGACGAGACACCCAGGGGTACGAAGGACCATCCGACGGGTGTTATCTGATCAAGGCACAAAGGGCAAGAAAGATTTACACTCCACGCTCATGGCGCTGCAGGCCAGTCTTAAAGCTCACGCAAGAGAGGAGAGGAAAAGGATTGGGAGGACGATCTCGCACTTGGAAGATAGGGTTGCGGCGCTAAGGCAAGAATTCATGGCGGACTCAAGCCTGGGAGGGAAATACGAGGAGCTGGTCAAGTTCGAGGCACAACTCAAAGCATACCGTGATAGTCAGAGGAGGCGGAAGCAGACGATGGCAGGGGTTGGAGATGAAATGAACGGTGAAATTGCGACGAAAGTTCTAATGCGGAGAATAACGGCGCGGAAAGCGAAAACGGTAATAAAGGAGATAGTGAGTGAGGGAGTGAAGTATGAAGGAGTAAGGGAGGTCCTGACGGCGGCGTCGGCCTTCTTCTCCAAACTCTTTCGAGCAGAGCAACGGGTTGCAGGGGTGGCTGAGTGGCAGATGGACCCTCTAAAAACTCTGGATGCAGAAGCAGTGGTGAAGCTCTCTGCGCCTTGGTCTGAAGAGGAAGTCAGACAGGCGATGAAGGAGCTCCCAAGGGGGAAAGCACCGGGAGCAGACGGCCTGCCAAAGGAACTGCTGGAGGACAACTGGGATCTGCTGGGGGAATCAGTGATGGATTTCATGAGGGATTTCGAGAAAACGGCGGAACTACCGAAAAGTGCATCAACGGCGGTTACTATTCTACCGCATAAAAAAAGGGGAAAGGTCGGACTTGGGGAATTACAGGCCAATTACCTTATTGAGTGCGACATATAAGATTGTGGCGAAGCTACTGGCAAACATGATGAAGGGGGTCTTACCGCAGGTCATCTCGGAGAATCAGTTTGGTTTCGTCCCAGGTCGGCGGCTGGCGGATGCGGTCAAGGTGGTAGCTGACACGATTGATGCCGCTGTGACAGGGAAGGAGGATTGGTATCTACTTCTTGTTGACTTTCAGAAAGCTTATGACTCGGTGTCAAGGAGCTTCCTCTTCCGCACCCTGGAACGCATGGGCTTCCCGAGTGAATTCATCAAGTGGACCAAAGGGCTGCATGACCAGGCAGCGACGCAACTCCTGATCAATGGATGGTTGGGGGAGAGGGTGGAGGTGGAGTCAGGAGTAAGACAGGGGTGCCCACTTGCACCTTACCTCTTCATCTGTGCAGCTGAACCATTAAGTCAGGAAGCGGAAAAAAGGAAGCTGGGGTTGAGGAAGAGGGGCAAAGGAGGGCTGGCGTACCTGGGGTACGCGGACGATACAACCTTCCTGCTCCAAGGGAAGGAGCAGCTCAAGCAGGCACAGAGTTTGCTGGATGACTTCAGTGCTCAGTCGGGGTTGCATGTTAACCAAGGGAAGTCCACGGTGATGCCGCTGGGAAAGAACAGGCCGAATCCCACGCCTGTGGACACAATTTTTAACTGGGCAGAAAGGGGCAAGCCAGAGAGATTATTGGGCATCTGGATCACATCGGATGGAAGGGCTGAGCCCACATGGGAAAAGACGCTGGTGCGGGTCAACACCATCCTTGCTAACTGGGAAAAGCTACATCTTACAACGTCGGCGCGTGTGACGGTCTTGAACGCCTATGTGATGCCGGTGGTCCTCTTTCAAGCGCAAGTGTACCAACCGCCGAAGCAGATTTGGAAGACGATGCTGAAGCTGTGTCACAACTTCATATCGAAGGGGTGCGCAGATGCTGAGAAGCATTTCATCCTCTGGAGCGAGCTGCTAGCCCATCTGGAAAGGAAAGAAGGGGGGTTGGGGGTGATTAGCCCGAAAGAGAGAGTCAATAGTCATGCACTGTGGAACTTGGGGGCGGTGCTATTGGAGGAAAACCCGATGAAGCAGTGGCTACTGGAGAGAGAGCGGCTAATATGCCCCTGGGGTGGGCGACGCTACTGGCACACAAAGCAATACTTGCAGAATGGACGTGCGGGAGTGGGCGCTGGAAATCGCTGGTGCCACTCATGTGGGACAAACAACTGCCGGAGTTGCCGGAACCGGAGAACCGGTGGGAGATGGAGAAGGAGACCTTGTGGTTCAGCAGGTGGATTCACTACCAAGGCGATAGCCCTTTTGGCAGACAGAAAGGGTCGGAGTGCTTAAAGGGGATGACGGTGGGGGACCTGCTACAAGAGGAGAATGGTGGCGGCTGGACGGTTAAATCTCTGTGGTCGCTGACGAAGCAAACGGGGAGGACGGCGACGGCGCGATGGGCGCTCAGAGCCTGGGAGGCGGTACCGGACAAATGGAAGGAACTGCTCCTCGCGGGTGCGTCAGCAGAGGAAATCGCACGGGTCACTACTTTGGTCAAAGTGGGGAAAGAGATGACGGGGCGGCAACACTTCTTTCACGTGGCGCTGTCGGACGACAAGGAGCTAAGATGTGAAAGAGTAGCTGTGGATAAGGGAGGGAACGTGCGGCGGCTGGGAGAAGAAGTTCTGCCACCAAAGTTGCTGGGGGTGCTGACCCCGATGGTAGTAAGAGAAGGTCGTGTGCTGGGTCATTTGGGGGATCCGGTCGCGCGCCTGCGTGCTTCTTTCCTATGTGAGGACGGAAAACCTACCGCGCAAAGGAAGCTACGGCACCTGCTCAGGAAGCCAGTCACACAACCAAAGCAGCAGAAGAAATGGGAGGAGAGCTGGGGCAAGAAGATTGATTGGAAGAAGATTATCGCAAAGAGGGACTCGCTAGCGATACCAGCCAAGGCGAGGGAGGTACTGTTGAGGCTACACAGTAATAACCTCCAAGTGGGAAGCAGACTGGCTTTCTTTGGTCCTCGGGCATGCTGCCCGTACTGTGGACAGGAAGAGTCACCAATGCACTGCTTGATGAGCTGTCCAGTTGTCAGTGGGGTGTGTGGTGCGCTTCAGGATACACTCAGGCTGATCAATCCGGGAAAGGGCAGTGGGGACATTGGGAGAGCTACTATTCGCGGATGACAGCACGGCGTCCGGTTTTCCAGAGTCCACACTCATTGCTGTTATATTCAGGCAGATATGGCTGGAGAGGTGTGATGCGGTGTTCGGAAAAACAACTTTCGAGCCCAAGCGAGTGGTCAGGAAGATAGGGGTCAACTTCATGAGACATGTTCGGATCTACAGTGAGGGGAGACGAGGTGCTGGAGGGCAGTATGGGGGCACCGGCAGGAGGAGGTGGCAGCATTTGGCAGAGGGAAGGGAGGGAGACACACTGAGGACGACACACTGAGGAGGAGCCGCAAGAGTATGGGAGCAAACCCAAGAGCCGCAAGTGTCGTCCTCAGTGTGTCGTGCCACTCACGGGGCGCCTGACGCAGGCCGTACACTGGTCGTCGTAGGCTCCACTGGGTACCCGCAGGAAACGACCCAGTGAAGCCCTGTGGACGGCGCAACCAGATGGCCTCGTGAAGGCTACCCTGCAAGAAAGCTGTCGAGAAGTCGAGGGAGTGCAGCTCGTAGTCACGCTGAGCTGCAACGTGTAGCAACACCCGAAGAGTGGTCATCTTCGGGGTGGGGGAGAAGGTCTGAAAAAAGTCGACCCCCTCACGCTGACTGAAACCTCGAGCAACGTAACGTGCCTTGAAGGCAGGCGGAGAACCCGGCGGCCGCTTCACCCTGAAAATCCACATGCCACTGACGATGTTCGCCCCAGGTGGGGGAACCTCGTCGACGTAGGTGCCTGTGGACTTCCAGGAAGCCATCTCTGCGTCCATGGCTGTCTGCCACTGAGAGGAGTACTCACCCGAAATCGCCTCCCTATAGGAGCGCGGGGTGGGGATGTCAAGTGCATCCGGGTCTCCCTCAGGGGCAAGCAGCATGGTCGCGTGATGGGGTGAAGCGGCAGCAAGGCACTCCAGCTCCTCCTATCTGTCCTCAAAAACGTCACAGCCAAGGGCAGTACAGCCAAGAGCAGTCTCACCCCCGACGGACGGAGGACAGGCAGGGACAGGGTCAGAGACAAGACTCGCAAGGTAGTCTAGGCGGTACACAGCAGCAAAGTCAACGAGCTCAGCTACTAGGGCAGACGCAGCAGGAGACGAGAACGTAGGGTCCGTCACAACCGTAGCAAGAAGGCGAGTAACAGTCGGACTGGACGCACGAGCAAGGTCAGACGGAGGGTCAGCAACGTCAGGCAGAGAGGACGCAGGAGGTAACGGTAGTACAACACGCTGAGGAACAGAGGAAGGACGGAGTGTCATATCGTGAGTGCCGGGGACAGCCGGAGCACGCGGACGACGAACACGAGGAACACGAGCACGGACAGCAGCTCTAGGCTCAGGCTCAAGGTCAAAGCTAGACTCAGGCTCTCGACGCTCAGGGGTGGAAGCACGAGTCTCAGGCTCTCGGCGCTCAGTCAGGGACTCTGACACCGCAGTGTAAGGAGCAGGAGCAGGCAGTGGGGAGTGTGGTAGCAGTGGCGCCCCTTCCCAACCCTCCCTTCCCTGCTCCTGCGCCCATGCTGCAAGAGTTTGCGGCTCTTGGGTTCGCTCCCCTTCACTGCTACACGAGCCGGGTTCTGGTCTCTACACACTTCACACTGCCCCTCGAGAGAGGCAGCAGCAGCAGCAGCTGCTGCCTCCGACCCCTGTCACTGCCCCCTGTCAGGTCCCAGGGTCCCACCAGGTAGCTGTGTCTGGTCAGGTCCCAGGGTCCCACCAAAGCTCACGACTCCACCTTCGGACAAGTGATTTGAGCCTAGTGGACCATATGCACGAATGGTAGGTTGTCTCATGTACCTGATAACCTGCACTCGCCCAGACCTCGCTTTCCCTCTCAGCGTTGTGGCTGGCTTTGTTGCGCCTAAGAGACACCGACCTGCTAATTGGTTGGCTTCTAGGAAGGTAGAGAAGTACATGGGGAGTACATCAGGCATGGGACTTGTGCTTGGAGGACGCCAGCCAGTTACACTCACTGGACACTTGGACTCGTCAGCCGATGACTGTACACGGACGCTGAAGTCTACACAGGGGTACCGCTTCAGCCTTGGGACAGGTGCTGTCTCATGGAGGTCGACTCGGGCGTTGTCTGTCTCATGGAGGTCTGACGCACATACTTTTATAAGCCGCCGTAGAAGGGTACAGGGGGGGCCAGGGTGGACATTTAAGCGTCTGCATGCACCTTCCTATTTTTACAGTTACGACTGTGGATGTATGCATTGTATAGTGTATTTCATCCCAAAAAAAAAAAAAAAAAAAAAAAAAAAATGTTGAAGAAATTCGAAAATTTCTGTACTGAATTTTGGATTCCTTCACAGCGCGGAAATTCATCCTCATATTCTCGCACTCAAGTCTCCCTGATTCCTTTCCGCACGTTCAGAAATGCCTAATAATGACAGGCACGTCAGCATTTGTTGCCTGAAGGGCGGCAAAAACGCGTGATTGATGTGGCATCTTGACTCCCTTGACCACAAATTTGCCTGACTAAGTGAATTTGGTGGTTTTTTGTGTGACTCGCTAACCAGTTCATGAACTAACACCACTCATTATAGCCTGAGGGGGGGTCTTATAATGATTTGGGTCAAAAGGCGGGTCCTCTCCAGGACTGACCTAATAAAAGACCCCTGGGCCGGATAGAAGACCCACGGGGCTTTTATGCGGGGGGGTCTTGTAACCGGGAGATCACGGTACTCTACTGCTTCACTACTTTAGACCGCTAGTAACCATATGCAGCTTCTACTACATGTGCGTGTGCGTGTGTGTGCATAATGGAAAATGGAAGTCTACAGATTTTCACGACGTTCTAAAAGCAAACACAAACTCCGAAGGAAACAATGGGAACACAGCAGTATGTGGAAAGATGTACTAAATTGTTGAATTATATTGCATATCCTAACTGCGTACAGCTTGCTAGTGTATTAGTTAGTTATTAGGTTCAACTGCTGGTGGTGTACCCTATCCTCTCCCCTATCCTATATCTTGTAAACATTCCTTAGTGAATGCCCCTCTTTGCCCAATTCTCTTGCCATGCTCACTCTCGACACTCACGCTTCCTAGGTAAACCCTAAGTTACTAAGTCAAGAGTTAAGAGCGTGTTCTGACATGATATCAGAGCGTGGTCCCTCCTAGGACCTCGTTTTCATGGGCCCACCAAACCCGCGATCTGCCATGGCGACTTATTGTGCTGCTGGCATGGCTGCTACTGCTAGTAGCGCGAAATCCGCTGCTGGCTCGAAATCCGCTGCTTTTGCAGCACCCGTCGCGCTGCCCCCTTTCGCCTGCCCCGTCGCGCTCTGCCAGTGGCGAGCGTGCCAGCGAGGCGATGGCGGGCGCCAGCGCAAGCGCCAACGGCGGGCGCCAGCGCCAGCGCCAACGGCGGTCGCCAGCGCCAGCGCGGACGCCAGCGCCGACGGCGGGCGCCAGCGCCAGCGCCAACGGCGGGCGCCAGCGCCAGCGCGACGCCAGCGCCCAGCGCCAGCACTTCCGCCAGCGCCAGCGCATGGGGGGGAGGGGGATGAGGGGGTGGCGGGAGAGCTTCTGCCGCGCCAGCCACCTCCTCTCCTCTCCTCTCCTCTCCTCCTCCTCTTCTCCTCTCCTCTCCTCTCCTCTCCTCTTCTCCTCCAGCCGCATCTCCTCCTCCTCTCTCCTCTCCTCTCCTCCAGCCGCATCTCCTCCTCTCTCCTCTCCTCTCCTCCAGCCGCATCTCCTCCTCCACTCTCCTCTCCTACAGCCGCATCTCCTCCTCCTCTCTCCTCTCCTCCAGCCGCCTCTCCTCTGCTCTCCTCCTGTGCACCACCACCAGCTTCCTCCTCCTCACCAACAGTTGTGTTTGCTCGTAGATGGCGAGCGACCAGCATCCTTCGCCCTCCGGCTATCCCAGCCCTCCTCCGCGCTCTCCGCGCCCTCCTCCGTTCTGGCGTTCACAGGTGCTGCCGGTCAGCCACCGCTGTTTCTGTGCCTATCCCAGCTACAAGCAACCGCTCTCCAGGCGACCTGGTGCCAGACACCACTAGCTATAGCCGTAGGCAGTTACGGGGGTGTGTTGAATTATATTGCATATCCTAACTGCCTACAGCTTGCTAGTGTATTAGTTAGCTTTTAGGTTCAACTGCTGGTGGTGTACCCTATCCTCTCCCCTATCCTATATCTTGTAAACATTCCTTAGTGAATGCCCCTCTTTGCCCAATTCTCTTGCCATGCTCACTCTCGACACTCACGCTTCCTAGGTAAACCCTAAGTTACTAAGTCAAGAGTTAAGAGCGTGTTCTGACATAAATTGTCAAGGGTGCAAGGCAAGGAGGTTCAGTTCAGTGGCACCGAGAAAGCACCACGGCTCAAAGCACAACAGCACACCACATATCCAGCCGTACCTCCTACCAGTCCCTTCCTCCCCATCTTCCTCCCCCTCCCTCCCCCACCACAGCCCATCATGTTCGACTAAGGCCCGACCCAGCCCTTCCTGAGTCCTGACTCACTCATGAATCATGACCCTCATATGGCATGGAGGAACAGAGGCCACTCGGGTGCGCAACCAGCAGGTCTTCTGATGAGTGGGGCGGAGGTTTCAGCTTTGAATCAACCTCCTTGGCGATTGAGATACCTTGGCAACTGGGACAGGCTTTGAGCTGTGGTCGTCGAGCGAGCGAGCGAGCGAGCTCTCAGGTCAGGTCAATCACGTGAGGGGCCAGCCAGCCACGGCTCGTGGCGTGGCTCCTCAGATCGCGTGCCTCGGGCTGGGTGCAGCGTGCAGCAGCGGGTGTGCCTCGCAGTCAGGGTATCGGCCTTAAATGGCAGGACTGAACGGCAGGACTGAATATTGGCACTTCCAGTCCACGTGACCTCTCTCTGCCATGCTCTCATTCTGGCCCTCGGCGTGCACCACCGCCCTGACCCTCTTCCTCCTACTCTTCCTCCTCTTCCTCCTACTCTTCCTCCTCTTCCTCCTCCTCTTCCTAACCCTCTTCCTCTTCACCTTCCTCCTCATCCTCCTCCTCTTCCTCCTCTTCCTCCTCCTCTTCCTCCTCTTCCTCCTCCTCTTCCTCTTCACCTTCCTCCTCATCCTCCTCCTCTTCCTCCTCCTCTTCCTCCTCCTCTTCCTCCTCTTCCTCCTCCTCTTCCTCTTCACCTTCCTCCTCATCCTCCTCCTCATCCTCCTCCTCTTCCTCCTCCTCTTCCTCCTCTTCCTCCTCCTCTTCCTCCTCCTCTTCCTCCTCACCTTCCTCCTCTTCCTCCTCACCTTCCTCCTCCTCTTCCTCCTCCTCTTCCTCCTCACCTTCCTCATCCTCTTCCTCCTCCTATTCTTCCTCACCTTCCTCCTCCTCTTCCTCCTCTTCCCCCTCCTCTTCCTCTTCCTCACCATCTTCCACCTCGCCCTGTTCCCTCCTCTCCACCACCACCCCCTGCTCATCCACCAAATCTCTAAGCACCGAATCCACATCTGCCTTCCGGCAGCACCCAGTAATCCGCACCCGTGCCACCGACCCATTGCGCGGCACGCACAGCAGAGCAAGGGAGAGCGGCAGAGTGCGAACGCCCCTGCAGCGATCCAGATGAAGCTCTACCAGCCGAGGGGTGGAACCGATAGCTTCAGGCAGGCATGTCAGGCCCGCGCAGCAGCGGATAAAGAGCCGCTGCAGCGACGGGCAGCGCGTGAGGCTGGCGTGCAGCTGCAAGATTCTCGGGCAGTAGCTGATGCTGAGCTGTTGGAGATGCTGCAAGGAGCTGAGGTTTTCGGGCAGAGAGGAGAGAGAGCCGCAGGTGCTGATATCTAGAGTGTGCAGAGAGGGGAGTAATGGGAAGGAATCGGGCAAGGATCGCAGTGAGTGACAACCACGTAAACTCAGTGACTGAAGCTTCTGAAGCTCCCCGATGGACTCGGCCAGGCTCTGCAGACTCAGGTTGCACAAAGAAAGTGCTTCAAGGGTTGAAAGCTGCCCCATATTCTCGGGCAGGGAGCGGATCTGGCTGCAGCCGGTGATTTGCAGGCATTCTAGGAGGGAAAGCTAGGGCAGAGAGGCGGGCAGCCGAGTGAGCTCACTGCAATCACTGACCGTCAGCCGTCTCAGACTGGACAAATTCCCCAAGTCTTCGGGCAGCTGGAAAAAACACTCGGTGAGGTACAACAGCTGGAGAGATGATAGCTGGGTGAAGGATGCGGGCAGGGCGTCAAGAGCATGGCAGGAACAAATGTGTAGCGAGCGTAGGCTGCGCAGCTGCCCGAAATTATTGGGCAGCTTGGACAGGTTTGGCAAGGTAAGGTCGAGGGTGTCCAAGACAGAGCACCGGCAGATTGAATCGGGCAGGGTGACTAGCTCCTCGGACCCCCTGGTACAAATATTAGTTAGTTTCAACAGCTGCCCGAGTGTATCGGGCAGGGAGGATAACGAGGTACACCTCACCAGCTCCAGGTCCCGTAGATTGCTGAGGCTGCCCAAACTTCCGGGCAGCGATTCGAGACTATCTGTTTCCAAATAAAGGGATTCTAGAGCGTGAAGCGCGCCGATTTCATCAGGTAAGTAAGAGAGGGTGTCCGACGAAATGGTGAGAAAAACCAGCCGAGTCAAATTCGCGATGCTTCCTGGAAGCGCGGTGACCGTTCGCGAACAGGTAAGATCGAGATCCGTCAAGAGCGTGCAACGGGAAAAGAGCGCATCGAGACATTGGTTCGCATCCGCAATGTCCGGCGCTAGTACCGCGTCTGTCCCTCGGAGGGACGCCGGAGCGCGCACGGCGACGAGCAGCGAGGTGAGATTTACCATGCGAGAGACGGACCGCGCGAGCTCCGATGCGGGTATGGCGTGGCTAGGCGTCACCTGGATGGACTGCACGGCGAGATACGCGAGGCGCAGCCAGCGGGACGACACGAGCGCGAGGGAGAACGGGGAGATGCGGGAGGAGGACGAGGGGGACGGGGAGGCGGACGAGGCGGCGGAGGAGGCCGCGGAGGAGTGCATGACGTGGCGGAATATCAGGACGAGAAGGTCATCAGGGAAACAGTCGAACGGGTTACGAAAAGTACTTGAAGTACTACGAGTACTCGTGGTTGCAGTGGTCGTATGGACCGGCTCGTCTGGGGGATTGGAAGCCATTGCGGGGTAGATGGAGGGTTGCTGTTAGAAAGACTGGTAAAATATAGGGATCTAAGTTGTCGCTACGAAGATTGGAGGCGAGAGATGAGCAAATGGCGCAGCAGCGGGCAAGGCGGGACAGCAGAGAGCACTGGAGGCAAGAGGAGCCGACGAGTGTAATGAATGAACTTATAACGGGGCTATGTGAATGTCGATACTGGTGTTCCGGTATAAGAGCCTGCGCTAACAAGATCATTTTCAGAAACGAGGAGCTTTTTGGGTTGCGTAGCAACCCTATATATTTGGTTTCACATTTTGGGGATATCATTTCAGAAATGGGTTTTATGCACCCTTTGAAACACTATTTTTAATAGATGCCTCAAAAAGTGGGTAAACAATCACTCCTGAACGATATGCCAAAACGTGAAAGCAAATACGCACGTGCCATGTCGAAACTTTGAAAGCATCCGACCATCACATCATCGTCGATTAATACGGCGGATGGTATGATCGGACAACAAATTCTGGCATCGACATGTACGACGAAGGCGAAAACTACAAATGGCACAAATGGTTATGCACATCACAGCACACGTACGACAAATACGATAGCTTTGAACATATTGAAGTGGATGCTAATATGAATCAATGCAGCAAGTGAGATTGATGGGCCGTTGAAACAGCGAAGACACGCTGCCCCAACGGCGATGACAACCCCAAATTGCATACACGATTCATATTAACACCATGCCTCGAAACACAGACAAAACGTCACGTTAACATTAGTGAAACACAACACGTAGATCGAAGATACCACGTAATGATTGTGAATGCTTCAAAGCTAATGCTAAAATGCAACATTGCTGCAGCAGAGGTTGATAGGGTCGTTAAAACAGCGAAAACACGCTGCCCCAACGACGATGACAACCTCTGCTGCATACATGAGGCAAGTTAACACAAGCCTGAAACAAACGCAACCCACAACACGATAGGTATACATGTATAAGCTCGCGCAAACACACACGCATACGCATCCACACCCCCACACACACAGTGACGTACATACACAGAAACACACACCTACACGCAAATACACACATGACAAGGATGCAAGCATCAACTCAACCACTTCAAAACAACCACAATTAACAGGCGTGAATGAATGAACTTGAACGTGTATGGCGACAACATCACGCATGATTGTGAGCGCTCCGAAGTGGATAACAACATGCATCAATGTTACAATCGAGATTGATGGGGTCGTTGAAACAACGAAGACACGTTGCCCCAACGACGATGACAACCCCGAATTGTAGCACGATACATATTGACACCACACTTTGAAACAAGCACAATCAATATCATACAACATTGACGTATGTAGACGGATGCGCCCGCACGCACACACACGAATACACATACGCGCATACACACGCACACACACAAATATATATAAGACACGCATAGACACACGGTTGATAGACCGCATATATAGTTAACCAAAAGTCGTTTGAGTTTATGTAAAATTGCTACTGCCCGGCCTCAATCATTCCTTCTCCTTCCTTCTCCTTTTCCTTCCACGCGTTTCTCCATCTCGCTTGTTTCATCCCTGCTTTTCTTCTCCAGTGAAAGCAAATGAAGACGTTGTGACTCACTGACCCTGCACAGCATAACAAGAAACCAATAGTACGGGGAACAAAAAACAAAGGAAAATACTTCGTGAAGAAAGTTCCACGAGTTGATAATTGGATCAATATGTTTAACAACCCCACGTTACAATCAGCACCATATTGTACACTAATCCAGAACCACCTATCAAAATTGAATATGAGGATTTATGTTAGAAATGACGTTTTGTATCTAACCTGGTCGCCACGACGCTGAGCGAGTTTCACGGGTGTCGATGGAATGGCGGGGGGAGCATTCGGCGCTCCACGTTTGTTGTTGTCGTGCACAGCTTCAACTTGCTCCTCCTATGAATATCACAAAAGAAATAAAAAACACGCAAATAAATTGTTATTTGATGTGCATAGAAGTTAACATCGATATTTTTTATGCATTCATTAAGAAAGAAGATAACGTATGACGTTATATCTAAAGCAATAATGAATTACGGAATTACCATGATGAATGCAGAGATTGTCCTGTCAAAACGATTTCCAGCTGCCTTCACGACCATCTGTGATGGGATGAAAGGGAGAAACGAGAAAAGTTGTACAATATGACGTTTTAACCAACGATGAACTTGGTAACATTTTATCATATTACAATGTTAACTATAGTAGACTATATTAAATACTACAGTGTCTATGTTTTATTGCATGACGTACCTTGATTTGACGACGCCTATGGAAGAGCTTCGATAAGATCTCCTGCTTGCCATCAGAATCAGCTGCAACCCATGTCGCAATGCTGAAACCTTCCAGTCCGCTCTGGAGCGCACCCAGGCTCATTGTAGCACTCACACCTGTGCGGGCGAGCTTTCCAACTTTGATAGAAAATGGAAAATGAAAAACCACTTGAGCGGGATAAGATCCTAACATTAGAAAACAAAGAGCATCAAAAGCAATTGCTTATCGAGCATGAGATATAACATTATCAAAAGACAATGAATGATGATACATGAATTACTAAAAACAACATCTACAACAAGAATGATGGTAACAAAGAAAAAACACTAGTACCTGTCGTCGTGTCGAAAACCGCAACAATTGTATCTCGCGCGTTCGCATCCTGTGTCACATGCTCCAAGTCACAGAGGTACCCGTCGTTGGTGAAACACCATCCGACGGGAAAACCGCAAGGGAGGGCACCTTCTCCCGACGGCCTGAATGAACAGACCCACTCTGTAGTGACGTCCGTGCTGCGTATCTCCACGCGGAGTGCACATGTGATCTCTTGGCCCAAAGAGATCACATTCTCCTCCACGGCTCCCAAACTGAAAGGGAGTGGGGGAAAAAAAAAGTGAACAAGCGTACATATTAATGATATATACACAACATTTGTTGATCGGAATTGACATTATCTTTACAGTAGACTAACATGCAATGCAAACTTGATAGTTATAAATAACTTGCAATACTTACGAAATGACGCTGCCGACGTCGGTTGGTGCGGTGAGAACAGGAGCCAGACTCCGAGTGACGCGAGCAACAACATCATCATCAGTGATCTTGATGATCCTCGACCTGGTAGGAAAGAATACAATATACAGATTTGAAAGATAGTTGAGGCTATATACATCATGTACATTACCGCGTATCAACAACATCCCTATTCAAGTACAAACACTTGACTAATCAATAAACACATTGTAAGATCGCTTGTACTATACCTCTTGGTTGTGTAGATCTGGGGATGCTCGACGTAGACCTCAGTGATCCACAAGACCACGGGAGTCGATGTGAACGAAGTCCTGGTCACCTTTTGCTGCTCTGTCACAAACATGCGAATCCTGTCCGCAGATGAGCCTAACGCCGTCAAACCGAAGCGTCCGCTCTCATCACGAACCGAACACAGAGCGCGCAGCAAGAAACCAGGCTCCATCTTGGAGATCGTCAGCTCCACAATGAAGGACGAAACCTGTAAGTAATAAATACCAAAACATTTTGTTCAAAACGTTGTTACTATATCGGTATGAACATTGATGCGTGATAACATAAGAATGAAATAAGAGTACACATCTGAAGTCTATGAGTAAGATTAACTTTAACGTAATGACACGACGTGCACACAAACCTGGCGACGTGTGGGCGGATCAGACGAGAACAAAGCATCCAGCCGTGTAGGAGTGAAAACACTCAACGGGATGCTGTCCGCCTCAGCCGTCATGCGGGCATGCGAAGAACGGTGCTCCCAGTTGAGTACACCATCCAGTATGCCAGCAGAGTACCTGTAAAGAATTGTTTAGATGTAATGTGATATGGTCAAAAGGAAGACAAAGTAAAGAAGGGTGTATACAAAGTACCTTAAGCAAGTTACACTCCATGGTGAGCCTCATATTGCTACTAACTGCCAAGTCATTTCTAGACACAGCATAACGAGTATGTTAAACCGAATTGAATGGGGAGACGTAAAAGAACTATAGAAGTTTTCAATTTAACCAAAGATTCTTCAGAATGAACAATGACTACGAGAAGAGAAGCAAGACACCACATGTTATTAGGGAACAATGTGATCAAGTATTAAAGGCTTCCATACGATTTAAAAGCTCACCCGGGTTTCTTGGAGTAAACGCAGTGGACGGAGCAGATGTCGTATGTAGCTCCAAGAACGAACTCTCCAAGTGTCTTGCAGCACCTGTCGATCGTCCATGGCGTCGGTGGCGGCTGCGTCTCAGCCCAAAACAACAACTCCATTTTCTTCCCTTCATCATCCATCACATACAGCTTTGCAGGGAATTTGCCCGCATTCGGCTGATCAAGGTCGTGCGGTCGAACACCAATAACCATTGCACGAACCGTGAAGTTCAAAGGCTTTTGGGGCCTGAGCAAAACCTCTACTAGCGAGCTGAAGCTAGCAACCTTCGGCGGCTGTTCATTCATTACATCAAGGGAAATAGCAAAGAATGAGGAATTTAAATGAATAGTTAGATAGAATGGTGCACGGAGAGGGAGGAAGAGAGAGAGAGAGAGAGAGAGAGAGAGAGAGAGAGAGAGAGAGAGAGAGAGAGTGAGAGAGAGAGAGAGAGAGAACAAGAGAGAGAGAGAGAGAGAGAGAGAGAGAGAGAGAGAGAGAGGCAAGTATGAAAAGATGATTGTGAGAAAATGTAGATGTTTACAAGATATGCATTGCATAGAATGTATGTTGCAAAGTGTGTGAGAAAAAAAGTACGTATAAAACACAACATGAAAACATAGCATATCAATCTAAAAAGATAGTGACGCAACACAAAACACAACTCAAAGCGCTCTCACCTTCGCAAGTGTCTTCTCATTATATGGAAGGCCACCTGTATGGAAAAGAATAATAGACATGTGTTTTTTATTTGATCAATACATACACCGGAAAATGATCGCTGAAAAATGATTCACCAACAATAACTTCAACGTCAAATTTAGCAATATCAAGCCAAACGTGATCAATAAGTGTATCCCGCACAGTAGTCGATGATTGGACGCATTGAGTCATACTTGCATCTTTCATCAATTGGATCAAACGCTTTGGCATCGAAACTTTGAAATCGAAATTGATGTCACCTATTATCATAATTAGTCCACTCGAGGGAATTGCATCAAGAAGTGATTGTAATGATGAATAGAAAGTTACTTGAGACGAACGAGGATTACGGTAAACGCATATTACGAATGTGTTTGGCATCGTAATGTATTCCAGGACAACAAACTGAATTTTATCATACACCTTGTGAGAAAAGACAGAGACGCGCTTATTATCAAATGCCACAAGCATGCCACCAAAATCCGAATCTTGACGAAGTACAGAAAAATCATTCAGTGCCTCGCCGTGTGTTTGCTCATATGAGAGGTGCGTCTCAAGAAACACTATGAAATCAAATGATTTCATAGATGTCAGGCCATTAATGCAGTCCAGTCTGAACTTGCGAACATTATGGAATGCAAATTTAGCACGTGCGGGACGTGATGCGATTATGTTAACAGGGACAGGATTAATTGGTAAGCTTATCTTGCGCAGACGTTCCATCTCTTTTACCACATCTTTGTGTAAAGTAATCGACTCTTCTGAGAAGTTTTCCAAAAACAGAGATTCTGAAGATCGAAATCTGCTTAAAGCAACGTATGCTGTATGATGGAATAGACGACGCTGGAAGTGCACTACACCTGAATCAAACGTAGAACCTTGACTTCGATGTACACTTATCCCATCACTTGGACGAAGAGGAAATTGTGATCTTGCTATTACATCATGCTTACGATTGATGGAGAACTCCCTAGTTTGCCGAGTTATGGGTGTGTATCGAAAATCACACACATTCCACGTTGAAAACAGCTGACGACCTTCGTGTCGCATTCTCTTTCCCACACGAGCATCGTCAAAACACACCCATATAACAACAACCCCACCTGTCTCATTTGTAGAAAATTGGTTAACAATTCCAGGTGTACCATTTGCAACCCCATCGGTGGTATCCACATTCACGACAACATGAACCTTACAATCAACGTACAAGCGCAAATAAGAAAACAAACCTCCCGTCTTTTTTGCATCGGGCGAAGCATACCTTGAAGGTTTTTTTCTCACGTCCTGCCGATTTAACGAATAAATTTAGATCGTGCGCCGGAATAACATACTTCTCGTTTACAGAAGCCTCAAAAGCCTTCTCATTGTGAGCATCGATATCAATATTTCTACAAAAAATATGTTGCACTTCGGTTGAAACGTTGCAAGGTCTATTCAAGGAGGAGAAAAACTTAACGTCCTCGTTTGTGTGATGACCTTCTCGCAGGCGATTCAAACGTTCGGCAAAAGCACGCTCATCTTTTTGACGCATAACGGTTGTAAGCTCGATCATTTGAAATGATCTCCAAACACGACCTTCAATATGTGTATTGGAAGACACCGAGTCCGTGAAACAATAGCGGTCAGCAACAGGAGGCAGTTGAAATAAATCACCGACAAGGATCATATGTAGCCCACCAAAAGGAATATGTTGTGCGCCTCGTAGCTCTCTCAATCGCCAGTCCAACCAATCAAACAAATGCTTACCGAGCATTGAGACTTCATCCACAACAACAACTTGAACATCGGCAAAGCGAGAACGTAGCGTGTTTAGTCGATCAGACGAAAGGTTAAATATAGCCCTGTTTTGTGAAACAGGTATCATCAACGCGTTATGGATCGTATATCCATTTATGTTAAATGCGGCAATACCTGATGGAGCCAATTTCAATACTTTTATTGAGCATGGCTTTGCATTTATAGATGCATTAAACATTCGAGAAATGCGTTCGGTAACAACGTTAATCAACATTGATTTACCGACCCCTGCGCCGCCAGTTAAAAATATGCATAATGGTTCCTTTTCAAATCGAATATGGTGTACAATGCGATCACTAACATATCGTTGTTCGACATTCAACGATGACTCAAACTTCAGGTATTATGAGTCGTCAACTTCGATGTGGACAAAAATATCAGTAGCCTTCTTTTTCCGTTCCTCCGTGTTAATCTCAATTGCTAAATCAACTTCCGTCTTTTCCCGTGCTGTATTCGGATTCTTTAGTATCAATAACGTCCTTATGGTTTTTATATGTTTCTACATAATATGTTGAGTTTACTGGCTCATCCTTGAATGGGACAAAAAGAAAAACGCGCTCTCTTATATAATTGCACGGATCTTGATCTTTATGATAGTTGACAAATCGTATAATCTTGCTTTTCTTCCGTCGATAGTATTATCTCTTTTTCTCGGACAAGTCTGGACCAATTAAGCCAACTTTGTCCATGGGGCTTGAAATCAGCGAAACCTCAAATTTCGAAACGAAATCTGCCAAACAAGCAGATTCTAGA